ATATATATATATATATATATACATATATTCAAAATTGTAAAATATGGAAAAGTATAAAAATGCCACATTAATATGGCTGTTACATTCAACGTATAATAAATGACTATTGTTATTTCTATTACGTGGCTGCGAGTTAATGAGTTTTATCTAATTCACATATCTTTTTCATATAGTGATTATATAGCGCATAAGGAAGAGATCTCATTTAAGTTTTTATTATATTTCTATAAAGTAGAAATATTAAAAAGAAGTATGTATATGACAGATTTATACATTTTGTGTTTCTTTTTAAGTCTTTTCATAGTTGTATATTTCTCACTATCAGAGATTTGCGGTTTCCACGTATTTATTTATTTAATTAATAAATCCTCTTTATATTGCATAAATATTCGCATATATTTTTCATGTATAAGTCACATAAATTAAAAATAAAGGGAATGTACAGGACTCTTAATGTGTAAACAACAAAGATAGAAAAAGGCATGTAAAAGTCAATTAAAATTATAAATAAAGTCATAAATTAATGTCACTATTAAACAAAGTCATAAATTAACGTCATTATTTGTTAATTAAAAACATTCAAAAGTTTTAAAATTTATGATTATAAAATTATATAATTCACGAATAATTGTGATGTATAAGATATTACTTTTCAGATGTATTTAAATATTTTTTGTGAGATGATTATGACGAGATACAGAGAATTAGATTCAATACTTCTGTCGTTGTTTTAATTTTTCGAATTATTTAGATAACATTATTTTGATAACGCTTCTTTTATTATATTATGTATTCGAAGTATTAATTATTGGGAAATGGATCTCGTTTTTATATCACATAATACAGATAATTAGCGTTGATAGAGTGATAGAAAGAGAGGAGGGGGAAAAGAGAAGGAGAGAGAAAATGAGACAGAGAGTGTAACGCACATTGTGTAATATGCTGTAGTAGAACAATTGTTTGCCAAATGTTTAGGAAAAAGAAAGAAATACTCGAATGTATCCTTAGCTTGATGTTGGCACGTGTATTTTAGACATCCGTATTTATATCTTCACAATGTTGATTAAGGCAATCAATCAAAAAAAAGATAAGATGGCAAAAAAAAAAAAGAAACGAACGCGTACCCTATTTTTGTAATCAAAACGTATTTTGAATACGATAAAAATTTTCACATTCTCGAAGCGCGTTTGTTCGCGGTAAGATGTACACTTTATTGTTTTAATACTGTGATGGGACAGAATCGGTGGCGTATAATGCTAAGTTCCACTACCCGGAACTTTATTTCTACGAGGAGGGTAAGGAGGAAGAAAAAAATATCGAAAATCGATAGAAGAGATATAAAATTTGATGAGAACGAGAGAAATTTATTAGTTAAGAATACATTGACGATTCCGAAAGGAGTCTTGAATATTGTGAGATTGGACGAGCCCGTATTGGTGAGGGAAAACTTCGCATTATAGTGAAAAATGGATTTACAAAATCAATGTAGTTTTTCAATTTGTCGTGGATTAAGGATATTAAGGACGTTTTCATTTTCTTTTTATCTTTTCATTTTCTTTTTTATTCTCTTTTTTTTTAATCGAATAAGTTCTAAAATCTGTGATGACCGTTGAATAAATTTATTAAAGAAATCACTGAAGAAGTCGGTGTGAACTAATCGGCGCGATTTTATCCAATCTTTACGATCTCTTTCGAGAAGCACTTAATTGTATCGTAGCGTTTTCTATCGCATGCACACACGCTGCACGACAAGGCTAAAGCCGGAATCAGACTACGCATTGAAAATTGAGATTGAAGATTGAAAAAGATTGAATTTTGGCTAATCAAAATAACAGAAGCTAAAATTTCTTTATCCCCATTGGTCAAATTTCAATTTTCAATCTTCAATCTCAATTTTCAATGCGTAGTCTGATTCCGGCCTAACACAACTTCCTTTCAGCAATACTATATAGATTTATACATATGTGTACGATGCGAAACAGCCACTTTGTGCGAGGAAAAAGGCGAGACTATTATTATAACAGCTTGAGGTATCCTTTACTTGTACAATTGCAAGAACTACGCTTCAGGGACGAAAATCATATGACCAATGTAAAATAAAAGAAATATCGAAAGAATATATATGTAAATATATACATATATTCACACACATACACGTATATACAGGAAGCATGTAATACGCGAGTTGCACGAATAAATCGTTCGATTCTCGTCTTCTGTGCGAAAGGACTCTACCGTATGCGATTACATTTCTATGTCACATCACTACGGATGTACCCTCGATCGGACGTTTATCCAAATAAATTGTTCGGTATGATGACATGTATCGCAGGCCGGACTATTAGGCGCAAATGCGATTAAATCTAAGATGTGTAAATCTCGGCTAGTGAGCGATGTGAGTGAAGAGAAAAATGTAGATTGAAGCGAGAAAGGGCAGAGTAAAGCAAAGTGAAATGAAATAAGAATATATGAAGTATATATGTACACATACCTTTTTCAAGCTCGAGAAGTCACCCATACATAATGTAAGTAATTGTGCAACTTCTCTTTAATCATAAGGCAGAACGTAAAATAAGATTAGTCATAGAGTATAACAAAATGTATGATGCTTTCATATAGTTCGAAAGAGGGAAAAAGATGGTAGAAGTAGCCAAGTGCGTTCATGTACGAGAGAGGAAGAGAAAGTGTGTGAGTATGTGGGTGAGAAAGATATATATGTTTTATGTTATATTTATCGAAAAGTGTAAACTAAATCCTGAAGTATATATATATATATATATAATA